AAAAAAAAAAAAAAATTCAAATTAGAGAAGACCAATTTCCTTGCATGAAGTTATTGCACCATCGTACATTTCTTTGAGCCCGTTTTCGTACTGAAATCCAGTTTCTAGAAGTTTCTTGCTCGAAATAGCCGGGAATCGAAAAGGCTTGAAATGCTTCAAGGACTCTGCAGTTGGCAGCTTAAGCTGAGGGTAAGTAGTAACCAAAAATTGGTGCAATTGGTGTATGTTAGTATTTGCAGCTAAGCAAATGTATCTCCCCTTTGCATTCGGATACTCAAAGAGATGAATGTGGGCTCTAACGACGTCGTCCACGTGCACCAAGCATGCGTTCACAAGCCTCTCATAGTACTTCTCATCCCCTTCAATTTTGAAGTTTTGGTTATAAGATCGGAAATTTAGTCGTATGTGCAAATTAATTAATAACGCAATGTCACAATTTTTCATATATAAATATAGGAAAAATAATTATTGTGGTCATTCCATATAAATACATTTAGCAATGTCACGATTTTTTATTCTTCAAAGTGCAATGTGATCACAAACATTATAACATTAGAAAGGCTCAAAGGTGTGATATTTGAATATGGTGAAATTATTTATAATTAAGGGGGAACGAGTAAGATGACAATTCAAAATTCTCTAATGTTTCCCAAATTTAAAAATCATGTTTCCAAGAAGTACAATTTTTTTATAAGGTGGTTTGTATTTTTATATTTTATTTCTTGTCGTGTTAATTCTTTTTTGGCAAAAATTTCAGAAAAGATACAACTGAACAATATTCAAAATAAAATAAAATAAAATAAAAAGTTATGTTGTTCTCAACGAAAAAGGTACACTAAGTTGATAATTTGGTTCGATCCTGACTATCGTAGAAATAGTGGATGGGGCAATACTACTTTCCTGGATGGATTAGTCCCACCATCTGGGCGTGGATCTCGTAGCCTGTTAGGGCCACGGACCTGGATAGGCCCACACTCCCCGAGTAGGGCTCGACGAGTGGCTTGGGAGTTCGTGATGAGACCCCATATTGAATGTGGGGATACCACCCAATTGAAAAAAAAATAAAAAGAAAAAAAGATGCATTAATCCTCCACCCGAATAAAATGATGACGTTGACAGATAATTTAATAACGTGTCATATATAACCTTTCCTTAATTCTTACGTTTTTTTTTTTAAACATTTTCTTTGAAATTACGACTTATATGGAATGAATAATTAAATAAAAATAAAATGAGAAAAAAGGTAAACATACCTAAAATTAAGGCCATTGATATTTGAACCGAGTCCGGACAGCGTGGACAAATGAAGGGCCCGTGAATCCAGGTTGGCAGCACCGTCACCACATCCAAACCATTTTCCTCCCCAAATTCCAGAGCCAATTTCTCCGTCACCGTCTTCGTCGCCATGTACGCCGCCCCGAACGGCTTCGTCTCCCTCAGAAACTCCAGATCGCTCCACGACCCCTCGTCCACCGGTCCGCCGTCGGCAGAGAAAACTACGCCGTTGAAAACCGCCGTCCCTATGGTGGAGGTGTAGACCACGCGCCGCACGGTCCCGGCGTCGACGCACGCCTGCAGGATGGCGCGTGTCCCGCTGGTGACCCGCCGGATCTTCACCTCCTCGGGTTCTTTCTCCTCGAAGTCCAGCGGCGTCGCGACGTGGAAGACCCCGTCGCAGCCGTTGATTGCGGCGGCAAAGGCTTCGGGCCGGTCGAGGTCCGCGGAGAAGATCTGGAGGCGGTCCGAAGCGCCGGGGAGGCTCGTGAGGTAGGTAATGTCCCTTTTGCCCTCTGCGTGACAGAGAGTGAAAATAAGATATTTTTTTTTCCTCTTCGAATAACGTTTTTTTATTTTCGTCCGCTATATTTGCAAAAAGATTACAAAATTGTCATTTTTATACATAAATGATGAAATTGGAACTTTCTTTTGCAAAACATAAAAGAAATTTTTATTGCGAAAAAGACATCTTTGTAACCTTTTTGTAAATATAAAGGACAAAATAAAAAAAAA